AAAGCTGCTGGTGAGCGTCTTAAAGAGGGGGCTAACATAAACAAATCTTTGTCGTATTAGGAAATGTGATAAGGCACACTAAGCGAGGGGAAGGAGTTTATCAGTTATCGCGATTCGAAAATTGACTAGACTGCTCTCACAGGCTCTTGGCGGTAATGCCAAATCTTGATTATTCGGGAATGTTACTTTAGCTGAGAGGAGGAGACTAGATCTACCAGAATTCGCCCAAAGCACTAAAACTGTCAAAAATAAAACGAAAGTAACTCTTGTCGCTACAGAAGAGACACTTCAAGGATATAGAACTTGACTCGCGATCTCGAAACTCGGCTCAAAAAGCAGGCAATTAAGCTAAAAGAGATGGATAAAAGCAACAAAGAGTATCTGCCGAGATAGAAAGACTAAAAACGGAAGTAGTATCTATTGTCGGGCGCTTTCAAATGGAGCCTCGGCATCACCACACCGAAAAAAACATTAAGACGTCATACTTTTGGACACTATGGCAACGTATCACCTAAAAAAAGCATCCCTAGGGTATATGCCATTGAAAAAATTATCCACCCAAAGAAGAATCATCCGGACGTGAAATGAGGCCTATTCAAGAAGAGACATATGAGGAGGCACTAGCCGAAGCAGAATCTGTGATAGCTGAAGACGTGCAGTGTACTTAAAGACAACGCAAAGAACTGGAAGAATCTTTCAATGAGCTTAGAGAATTCACTAAACTAGATATCAGCTGGAGATTTTGGACCTGAAGAAACAGCTCACAGAAGCCAATTCTAAATTCGATCGTTACAAGGAACTCCGCCAAGTAACGGATGCGTACAACGAAGAATAGAAAGAGTTCAAAAAAATTCTCAAAAAGCGCAAGAATTTCATCGACTTGCAATAAGACTCGATTTTCTGGAAAAAAAATAAAAAAGACTAAAACATACGAGTCAGAAATAGAGATGCTGCGTACTCAACTGAAGAACCTAGGAAGATCAGAGAGCCCTAAACCATCTCTTGAAGCTCAAAATATTGAGTCAAAAAAGAAGGTTGCAGACTAGAAGCTATGCTTGACGCTGAGTACGAAGATATGCAACATTCTTTAAGTGCTGCTGCACAAACTGATGTAACGATGTCACACATTGCTGAACTGCAAGATGAAATTGGCTTCCTAAAAGAACTTGAATCTAAACTGAGATATGACCGTAAAGAGGTCTGATGGACGAGAGTAACCAACGTGAGGTCAACCACTCATTTAAAATCTCAGATATACGATGCCATAATGATTCTATATAAAAGAGCTTCAGGATCAAATGGCTGAACTGGAATGCCAAAACGAAATCTGGATTATGAAAAAGGACGAATCGAGAAAAAATTGCAACACTACTTACAAACCCGAAGCAGGCTGGCACTTAAACCAGAACCACCTGTGCAGGAAGACGTTGCATTTTATAGGGAGCAAGTTGAGTTCTCCCAGAACATGTACAAAAATGAGATAATAGGTGGAGAGTTACGTAATAAACCATAAGAAAAATCTTCAGGCAGTTAAACTAGAAATATGTCTACCCTTGTTTAGTGTTTTACGATTATTGCAGGGTTTGGACAAAGTTTAGGGCTGATCCCAGTGCTCACAGTGTACAATTTTCAGCTAATAAATCTTGAATTCTGAGGTAACAAATCAACTAGAAACTCTGAAAAGTGATTTATCAGAAATCATGCCCTTATTCCATGAAGAGGGATTCGTAAAAATTAAGCAGGTTGTGGCTTATTATCTAGTAAAGATACAAGAATCCCAGATCTGAAAACGATTTATTGTTCATGTGATCACAAACTAGCAGCGACTTGGTTTGTGCGTTGTTGGCACTATTTCTAATCAGGGCCGCAACGATCAAAAACGCACTTGAGACGATTTGCTCGGAGAATACTCACGGATCAAGTCCATTCCATTTTATAGTCAATGCTCAGAGTATTTCTACAATTTGTGATGAACCACATTTATTCAAAAATGGATGAAATGCTCTTATTGACATTAATATGAAAGTGAAGAAGCTGCACAGATTGAACATGTCTAGAAATCATATAATGTTGATCAGCAAACAAGACCATACAAAGAGCTATGTAAATTGAAACCCAGCCACTTGATTTTATAGATTCGTTCAAGAATATAGAAATTAATCCTTTAATGATATCGTCGGATGATTCGAGCTTTCTCAGTTATGTGGTGGGGGTCCCGTGACTTCTCATACGGTATGAGCACGTATACCTCAAACCACAGTTTAATTTAAACATCACAATTGTTGGTTTGTTGACTTTGCGGTCAAATTTGATCCGAGGATGTCAGTTGCGTGTACGATTTGAACTTCCTTCACAATGGATTTTTTCGTTGTTGACGGATGAACAATACACTATAGACTACGCCGAGGACGACGCTGCTATCGATCAACCTGAACAACTTCCTATGGGCGACCTCGCTATGCCTATGGAAAAAACATGTACAATTGGTCAAAACGAGCGCCTGCAACTGGTCGATTATTACGCATTTACCTGAACTAAAGTCCGTGGCAACCAATTTGGAAAATAATAACCCTGTGACTCGAGAAATGCCGATAAATTTCTCCAAATACGTGAAATTTTCGAGACACTCATAGAGAACTGTCGAAATTGTTATATTTCGGGTGAGTCCCCTACAAAATACGAGATGCTCGTGGGCCGGCCGATGTCCTTCCTGTGCCTACAAGAAAACTAAACCGAATAAGTATGGACTGATGATGCAAAGACTCACCACTACCTGCTCAATGCTTTCGTCTATACGAACAGAAATTCACAGCAGATGACTGGTTCACGTCAGTAGAATTACATGTAGAATTGCGCATCAACCAACTGACCTATGTCGGCAGGAAGCGTAAAAATAAGTAACAAGTACCCCAACATGTAGTTCCAAATAAGAAGGAAACACAGCCAGGTACTTCTAAGTTTATGTTGTACAGCCTTAGTAGTATCTTCCAAAACCAATACACATGTTCTCGTATAGCAATCTATGCAGCATGATAACAAAATAGTAGAGGAATCAAAGAAACCTGATAAGATCCTATATTTTTTATAACACTATGAAGGCGGGGGGGTAATGCATTAGATCGGAAGTGTGTAAATTACAATACTGGTTAGAGAACGAGAAGATGGCCTTGTGCTATTTGGTATCCAACCAGCTTCTGTAAATTCCTTTTTTTTTCAGTCTGGGACTGAAAGTTCCATTAGGCGACGAAATTTTATTGTTCCCCTGAGGCAAACTCTAATTTAACTTCGTATGAGAGGACGTTTATCAGATCCAAGACTTCCTAGGGAGCTTCGTTCAGCCATGCAAAGAATCCTAAATTACCAACGACGAATAAAGTAAGCCGTCTACTTCTCAGCCCAGAGTTCTCGATCCTGATGCAGTTGTTAAAGAAAAAAAACGACGTAGGTGTTACATGACAATACACAATGAAAAAAATGTTCTACAATCTGTAATAAGTATGTAAAGTCACAGCGCACTTACATTGTTTCGTGAAAAGTGATAAATGTTAATTATTGTATGTTTCCTTATACGAGAAAGTATTTGTTTTTGTTGTAGAATATCAACACCAAATATGTTGTTAAATGGCCCATTTTGTTAGTTTTTTTATGTTCATATTACAGTTCAAGTTTCGAGGATTATATTTATTGCATTACTCATCTTCAATGGGGTATTTTCGTTTTTAGACAATAAACAGTTTTCATGTAAGAGTGTCTTATGCGTACAAACCTGTTGTACACATGGCTAAAAACAGTAATGGCATTTCAGATGTTGATAGTAAGATCCGGTGGATAACCTGTTTTGCGAGATTAGACGTGGGATTTCCAACACGAACACCATCTGTTTATTTGAAGCATTAAAAACTGTAATAATCAACAATTTCAGTTTTCCATTGACAATAATGAAGAATTATGAAGGCGATTCATGTAAGGCACTAGGTAACTTCGCGTTGCTTTTAGAAGAGTATTGTCTGAATAGACAACAGTTACCTTGTGATTCTTCACCGAGCTGCATTTTTCAAGTTGAAAAATCGGGTGCTGAAAGTGATGGATCTATAGATTTGTGAGAATTTGCTGCTGCTTCAACTTCTTTTGTAATAACAATAACAGTCTATATGAAATTTAACAATTCTGTTTCTTCTTTGATTTTGAGTCACCCTGTAAATGTAGCTCTACTAAACTATCGGACCGCATTCATAGCCTACAAGAGAAAAAAATCTTCTATACTGGAAAGGAGGAAAAAAAGAATGTATCAACCTGATACATCTGCCCCTCTTTATAACCCGTGAAATAGCCCTAGTTCTAATTAAATTTCAGTTCAAGCTTCCAAAATGACTTCCGACAATATTAAAGTAGCCACAAAGATCAGACCAATGATCCACCGCGAAGTAGCCGATGGTCTAGAGCGTCTTTGGAACGTAAGAGTAAACTGCATATGGGAAGCCGATGAAAGTAGTCGCCATGGAGAGGTTTATATATTCGACCATGTATTTAAGCAGGAATGTACAAATTCAGATGTATATGGATCTGTAGTAAAACCTTTAGTCGATTCCTTCATGGAAGGTTTCAATGCCACAATATTTGCATATGGCCAAACATCTTCTGGCAAAACACACACCATTTTGGGCAATAAAACAGATCCTGGGCTTTTCCAATTAGTATCCAATCAGTTATTCCAGCATGTGGCAGACCAGGTTGATAAGAGGTACTTGATTAGATGCAGTTATATTGAAATCTACAATGAAAAGATCAATGACCTCCTGGATAAGAGCAATCAGGGTTTAACTATAAGAAGATATCAAAGGAAATGTGCTGCTTGATGCAAGGGAAGCTGTCGTAGACAATGTTGATAAAGTTATGGAGAACATGATGCAGGGCAATAAGATCAGACGAGTTGCAGCTACTCGCATGAATGAGAGGTCATCTCGATCACACACGATTTTCCGGATTATTCTGGAGTCGAAAGATGCCAATCAGAAAGATGGACCTGTACATATAAGCTACCTTAACTTAATGGACTTAGCTGGTTCTGAGAGAGTTTCTCTGACGAAAGCTGCTGGTGAGCGTCTTAAAGAGGGGGCTAACATAAACAAATCTTTGTCAGTATTAGGAAATGTGATAAGGCAACTAAGCGAGGGGAAGGAGTTTATCAGTTATCGCGATTCGAAATTGACTAGACTGCTCTCACAGGCTCTTGGCGGTAATGCCAAATCATTGATTATCGGGAATGTTACTTTAGCTGCAGAGGAGGAGACTAGATCTACACCAGAATTCGCCCAAAGCACTAAAACTGTCAAAAATAAAACGAAAGTAAACATCTTGTCAGCTACAGAAGAGACACTTCAAGGATATCAGAACTTGACTCGCGATCTCGAAACTCGGCTCAAAAAGCAGGCAATTAAGCTAAAAGAGATGGATAAAAGCAACAAGAGTATCTGCTCGAGATAGAAAGACTAAAAACGGAAGTATCTATTGTCGGGCGCTTTCAAATGGGAGCCTCGGCATCAACACCGAAAAAAACATTAAGACGTCATACTTTTGGACACTATGGCAACGTATCACCTAAAAAAGCATCCCTAGGGTATATGCCATTGAAAAATTATCCACCCAAAGAAGAAGCATCCGGACGTGAAATGAGGCCTATTCAGAAGAGACATATGAGGAGGCACTAGCCGAAGCAGAATCTGTGATAGCTGAAGACGTGCAAGTGTACTTAAAAGACAACTCAAAGAACTGGAAAGAATCTTTCAATGAGCTTAGAGAATTCACTAAACTAGATAATCAGCTGGAGATTTTTGGACCTGAAGAAACAGCTCACAGAAGCCAATTCTAAATTCGATCGTTACAGTCAGGAACTCCGCCAAGTAACGGATGCGTACAACGAAGAAATAGAAAGAGTTCAAAAAAATTCTCAAAAAGCGCAAGAATTTCATCGACTTGCAATACAGACTCGATTTTCTGGAAAAAATAATAAAAAGACTAAAAACATACGAGTCAGAAATAGAGATGCTGCGTACTCAACTGAAGAACCTAGGAAGATCAGAGAGCCCTAAACCATCTCTTGAAGCTCAAAATATTGAGTCAAAAAAAGAAGGTTGCAGACTTAGAAGCTATGCTTGACGCTGAGTACGAAGATATGCAACATTCTTTAAGTGCTGCTACACAAACTGATGTAACGATGTCCACACATTGCTGAACTGCAAGATGAAATTGGCTTCCTAAAAGAACTTGAATCTAAACTGAGAAATGACGTAAAGAGTCTGATGGACGAGAGTAACCAACGTGAGGTCAACCACTCATTTAAAAATCTCAGATATACGATGCCATAATGATTCTACTATAAAAGAGCTTCAGGATCAAATGGCTGAACTGGAATGCCAAAACGAAATCTGGATTATGAAAAAGGACGACGAAATCAGAAAATTGCAACAACTAATTACAAACCCGAAGCAGGCTGGCACTTAACCAGAACCACCTGTGCAGGAAGACGTTGCATTTATAGGAGCAAGTTGAGTTCTCCCAGAACATGTACAAAAATGAGATAATAGGTGGAGAGTTACGTATAAACCATAGAGAAAATCTTCAGCAGTTAAACTAGAAATATGTCTACCCTTGTTTAGTGTTTACGATTATTGCAGGGTTTGGACAAAGTTAGGGCTGATCCCAGTGCTCAACAGTGTAACAATTTTCAGCTAATAAATCTTGAATTCTGAGGTAACAAAATCAACTAGAACTCTGAAAAAGTGATTTATCAGAAATCATGCCATTACTTCCATGATAAGAGGGATTCGTAAAAATTATAAGCAGGTTGTGGCTTATTATCTAGTAAAGATACAAGAATCCCAGATCTGAAAACGATTATTGTTCATGTGATCACAAACTAGCAGCGACTTGGTTTGTGCGTTGTTGGCACTATTTCTAATCAGGGCGCAACGATCAAAAACGCACTTGAGACGATTTGCTCGGAGAATACTCACGGATCAAGTCCATTCCATTTTATAGTCAATGCTCAGAGTATTTCTACAATTTGTGATGAACCACATTTATTCAAAAATGGATGAAATGCTCTTATTGACATTAATATGAAAGTGAAGAAGCTGCACAGATTGAACATGTCTAGAATCATATAATGTTGATCAGCAAACAAGACCATACAAAGAGCTATGTAAATTGAAACCCAGCCACTTTGATTTTATAGATTCGTTCAAGAATATAGAAATTAATCCTTTAATGATATCGTCGGATGATTCGAGCTTTCTCAGTTATGTGGTGGGGGTCCCGTGACTTCTCATACGGTATGAGCACGTATACCTCAAACCACAGTTTAAGTTAAACATCACAATTGTTGGTTTGTTGACTTTGCGGTCAAATTTGATCCGAGGATGTCAGTTGCGTGTACGATTTGAACTTCCTTCACAATGGATTTTTTCGTTGTTGACGGATGAACAATACACTATAGACTACGCCGAGGACGACGCTGCTATCGATCAACCTGAACAACTTCCTATGGGCGACCTCGCTATGCCTATGGAAAAAACATGTACAATTGGTCAAAACGAGCGCCTGCAACTGGTCGATTATTACGCATTTACCTGAACTAAAGTCCGTGGCAACCAATTTGGAAAATAATAACCCTGTGACTCGAGAAATGCCGATAAATTTCTCCAAATACGTGAAATTTTCGAGACACTCATAGAGAACTGTCGAAATTGTTATATTTCGGGTGAGTCCCCTACAAAATACGAGATGCTCGTGGGCCGATGTCCTTCTGTGCCTACAAGAAAACTAAACCGAATAAGTATGGACTGATGATGCAAAGACTCACCACTACCCTGCTCAATGCTTTCGGTCTATACGAACAGAAATATCACAGCAGATGACTGGTTCACGTCAGTAGAATTACATGTAGAATTTGCGCATCAACCAACTGACCTATGTCGGCAGGAAGCGTAAAAATAAGGTACAAGTACCCCACATGTAGTTCCAAATAAGAAGGAAACACAGCCAGGTACTTCTAAGTTTATGTTGTACAGCCTTAGATGTAGTATCTTCCAAACCAATACACATGTTCTCGTAGAGCAATCTATGAGCATGATAACAAAATAGTAGAGGAAATCAAAGAAACCTGATAAGATTCCTATATTATTTTTATACACTATGAAGGCGGGGGGGTAATGCATTAGATCGGAGTGTGTAATTACAAATACTGTTAGAGAACGAGAAGATGGCCTTGTGCTATTTGGTATCCAACCAGCTTCTGTAAATTCCTTTTTTTTCAGTCTGGGACTAAAGTTCCATTAGGCGACGAAATTTTATTGTTCCCCTGAGGCAAACTCTAATTTAACTTCGTATGAGAGGACGTTTATCAGATCCAAGACTTCCTAGGGAGCTTCGTTCAGCCATGCAAAGAATCCTAAATTACCAACGACGAATAAAGTAAGCCGTCTACTTCTCAGCCCAGAGTTCTCGATCCTGATGCAGTTGTTAAAGAAAAAAAAACGACGTAGGTGTTACATGACAATACACAATGAAAAAAATGTTCTACAATCTGTAATAAGTATGTAAGTCACAGCGCACTACATTGTTTGTGAAAAGTGATAAATGTTAATTATTGTACGTTCCTTATACGAGAAAGTATTGTTTTTGTTGTAGAATATCAACACCAAATATGTTGTTAAATGGCCCATTTGTTAGTTTTTTTATGTTCATATTACAGTTCAAGTTTCGAGGATTATATTTATTGCATTACTCATCTTCAATGGGGTTATTTTCGTTTTTAGACAATAAACAGTTTTCATGTAAGAGTGTTTTATGCGTACAACCTGTTGTACACATGGCTAAAAACAGTAATGGCATTTCAGATGTTGATAGTAAGATCCGGTGGATAACCTGTTTTGCGAGATTAGATGTGGGATTTCAACACGAACACCATCTGTTATTTGAAGCATTAAAAACTGTAATAATCAACAATTTCAGTTTTCCATTGACAATAATGAAGAATTATGAAGGCGATTCATGTAAGGCACTAGGTAACTTCGCGTTGCTTTTAGAAGGAGTATTGTCTGAAATATACAACAGTTACCTTGTGATTCTTCACCGAGCTGCATTTTTCAAGTTGAAAATCGGGTGCTGAAAGTGATGGATCTATAGATTTGTGAGAATTTGCTGCTGCTTCAACTTCTTTTGTAATAACAATAACAGTCTATATGAAATTTAACAATTCTGTTTCTTCTTTGATTTTGAGTCACCCTGTAAATGTAGCTCTACTAAACTATCGGACCGCATTCATAGCCTACAAGAGAAAAAATCTTCTATACTGGAAAGGAGGAAAAAAAGAAATGTATCAACCTGATACATCTGCCCCTCTTTATAACCCGTGAAATAGCCCTAGTTCTAATTAAATTTCAGTTCAAGCTTCCAAAATGACTTCCAACAATATTAAAGTAGCCACAAAGATCAGACCAATGATCCACCCGCGAAGTAGCCGATGGTCTAGAGCGTCTTTGGAACGTAAGAGTAAACTGCATATGGGAAGCCGATGAAAGTAGTCGCCATGGAGAGGTTTATATATTCGACCATGTATTTAAAACAGGAATGTACAAATTCAGATGTATATGGATCTGTAGTAAAACCTTTAGTCGATTCCTTCATGGAAGGTTTCAATGCCACAATATTTGCATATGGCCAAACATCTTCTGGCAAACACACACCATTTTGGGCAATAAAACAGATCCGGGGCTTTTCCAATTAGTATCAATCAGTTATTCCAGCATGTGGCAGACCAGGTTGATAAGAGGGTACTTGATTAGATGCAGTTATATTGAAATCTACAATGAAAGATCAATGACCTCCTGGATAAGAGCAATCAGGGTTTAACTATAAGAGAAGATATCAAAGGAAATGTGCTGCTTGATGCAAGGGAAGCTGTCGTAGACAATGTTGATAAAGTTATGGAGAACATGATGCAGGGCAATAAGATCAGACGAGTTGCAGCTACTCGCATGAATGAGAGGTCATCTCGATCACACACGATTTTCCGGATTATTCTGGAGTCGAAAGATGCCAATCAGAAAGATGGACCTGTACATATAAGCTACCTTAACTTAATGGACTTAGCTGGTTCTGAGAGAGTTTCTCTGACGAAAGCTGCTGGTGAGCGTCTTAAAGAGGGGGCTAACATAAACAAATCTTTGTCAGTATTAGGAAATGTGATAAGGCAACTAAGCGAGGGGAAGGAGTTTATCAGTTATCGCGATTCGAAATTGACTAGACTGCTCTCACAGGCTCTTGGCGGTAATGCCAAATCATTGATTATCGGGAATGTTACTTTAGCTGCAGAGGAGGAGACTAGATCTACACCAGAATTCGCCCAAAGCACTAAAACTGTCAAAAATAAAACGAAGTAAACATCTTGTCAGCTACAGAAGAGACACTTCAAGGATATCAGAACTTGACTCGCGATCTCGAACTCGGCTCAAAAAGCAGGCAATTAAGCTAAAAGAGATGGATAAAAGCAAACAAGAGTATCTGCTCGAGATAGAAAGACTAAAAACGGAAGTATCTATTGTCGGGCGCTTTCAAATGGGAGCCTCGGCATCAACACCGAAAAAAACATTAAGACGTCATACTTTTGGACACTATGGCAACGTATCACCTAAAAAAGCATCCCTAGGGTATATGCCATTGAAAAATTATCCACCCAAAGAAGAATCATCCGGACGTGAAATGAGGCCTATTCAAGAAGAGACATATGAGGAGGGCACTAGCCGAAGCAGAATCTGTGATAGCTGAAGACGTGCAAGTGTACTTAAAAGACAACTCAAAGAACTGGAAGAATCTTTCAATGAGCTTAGAGAATTCACTAAACTAGATAATCAGCTGGAGATTTTGGACCTGAAGAAACAGCTCACAGAAGCCAATTCTAAATTCGATCGTTACAGTCAGGAACTCCGCCAAGTAACGGATGCGTACAACGAAGAAATAGAAAGAGTTCAAAAAAATTCTCAAAAAGCGCAAGAATTTCATCGACTTGCAATACAGACTCGATTTTCTGGAAAAAATAATAAAAGACTAAAAACATACGAGTCAGAAATAGAGATGCTGCGTACTCAACTGAAGAACCTAGGAAGATCAGAGAGCCCTAAACCATCTCTTGAAGCTCAAAATATTGAGTCAAAAAGAAGGTTGCAGACTTAGAAGCTATGCTTGACGCTGAGTACGAAGATATGCAACATTCTTTAAGTGCTGCTGCACAAACTGATGTAACGATGTCACACATTGCTGAACTGCAAGATGAAATTGGCTTCCTAAAAGAACTTGAATCTAAACTGAGAAATGACTTAAAGAGTCTGATGGACGAGAGTAACCAACGTGAGGTCAACCACTCATTTAAAATCTCAGATATACGATGCCATAATGATTCTACTATAAAAGAGCTTCAGGATCAAATGGCTGAACTGGAATGCCAAAACGAAATCTGGATTATGAAAAAGGACGACGAAATCAGAAAATTGCAACAACTAATTACAAACCCGAAGCAGGCTGGCACTTAACCAGAACCACCTGTGCAGGAAGACGTTGCATTTTATAGGGAGCAAGTTGAGTTCTCCCAGAACATGTACAAAAATGAGATAATAGGTGGAGAGTTACGTATAAACCATAGAGAAAATCTTCAGGCAGTTAAACTAGAAATATGTCTACCCTTGTTTAGTGTTTACGATTATTGCAGGGTTTGGACAAAGTTTAGGGCTGATCCCAGTGCTCACAGTGTACAATTTTCAGCTAATAAATCTTGAATTCTGAGGTAACAAAATCAACTAGAACTCTGAAAAAGTGATTTATCAGAAATCATGCCCTTACTTCCATGATAAGAGGGATTCGTAAAAATTATAAGCAGGTTGTGGCTTATTATCTAGTAAAAGATACAAGAATCCCAGATCTGAAAACGATTATTGTTCATGTGATCACAAACTAGCAGCGACTTGGTTTGTGCGTTGTTGGCACTATTTCTAATCAGGGCGCAACGATCAAAAACGCACTTGAGACGATTTGCTCGGAGAATACTCACGGATCAAGTCCATTCCATTTTATAGTCAATGCTCAGAGTATTTCTACAATTTGTGATGAACCACATTTATTCAAAAATGGATGAAATGCTCTTATTGACATTAATATGAAAGTGAAGAAGCTGCACAGATTGAACATGTCTAGAAATCATATAATGTTGATCAGCAAACAAGACCATACAAAGAGCTATGTAAATTGAAACCCAGCCACTTTGATTTTATAGATTCGTTCAAGAATATAGAAATTAATCCTTTAATGATATCGTCGGATGATTCGAGCTTTCTCAGTTATGTGGTGGGGGTCCCGTGACTTCTCATACGGTATGAGCACGTATACCTCAAACCACAGTTTAATTTAAACATCACAATTGTTGGTTTGTTGACTTTGCGGTCAAATTTGATCCGAGGATGTCAGTTGCGTGTACGATTTGAACTTCCTTCACAATGGATTTTTCGTTGTTGACGGATGAACAATACACTATAGACTACGCCGAGGACGACGCTGCTATCGATCAACCTGAACAACTTCCTATGGGCGACCTCGCTATGCCTATGGAAAAAACATGTACAATTGGTCAAAACGAGCGCCTGCAACTGGTCGATTATTACGCATTTACCTGAACTAAAGTCCGTGGCAACCAATTTGGAAAATAATAACCCTGTGACTCGAGAAATGCCGATAAATTTCTCCAAATACGTGAAATTTTCGAGACACTCATAGAGAACTGTCGAAATTGTTATATTTCGGGTGAGTCCCCTACAAAATACGAGATGCTCGTGGGCCGATGTCCTTCCTGTGCCTACAAGAAAACTAAACCGAATAAGTATGGACTGATGATGCAAAGACTCACCACTACCTGCTCAATGCTTTCGTCTATACGAACAGAAATATCACAGCAGATGACTGGTTCACGTCAGTAGAATTACATGTAGAATTGCGCATCAACCAACTGACCTATGTCGGCAGGAAGCGTAAAAATAAGTAACAAGTACCCCAACATGTAGTTCCAAATAAGAAGGAAACACAGCCAGGTACTTCTAAGTTTATGTTGTACAGCCTTAGAGTAGTATCTTCCAAAACCAAATACACATGTTCTCGTATAGCAATCTATGCAGCATGATAACAAAATAGTAGAGGAATCAAAGAAACCTGATAAGATCCTATATTATTTTTATAACACTATGAAGGCGGGGGGTAATGCATTAGATCGGAAGTGTGTAAATTACAATACTGGTTAGAGAACGAGAAGATGGCCTTGTGCTATTTGGTATCCAACCAGCTTCTGTAAATTCCTTTTTTTTTCAGTCTGGGACTGAAAGTTCCATTAGGCGACGAAATTTTATTGTTCCCCTGAGGCAAACTCTAATTTAACTTCGTATGAGAGGACGTTTATCAGATCCAGACTTCCTAGGGAGCTTCGTTCAGCCATGCAAAGAATCCTAAATTACCAACGACGAATAAAGTAAGCCGTCTACTTCTCAGCCCAGAGTTCTCGATCCTGATGCAGTTGTTAAAGAAAAAAAACGACGTAGGTGTTACATGACAATACACAATGAAAAAAATGTTCTACAATCTGTAATAAGTATGTAAAGTCACAGCGCACTTACATTGTTTCGTGAAAAGTGATAAATGTTAATTATTGTATGTTTCCTTATACGAGAAAGTATTTGTTTTTGTTGTAGAATATCAACACCAAATATGTTGTTAAATGGCCCATTTTGTTAGTTTTTTTATGTTCATATTACAGTTCAAGTTTCGAGGATTATATTTATTGCATTACTCATCTTCAATGGGGTATTTTCGTTTTTAGACAATAAACAGTTTTCATGTAAGAGTGTCTTATGCGTACAAACCTGTTGTACACATGGCTAAAAACAGTAATGGCATTTCAGATGTTGATAGTAAGATCCGGTGGATAACCTGTTTTGCGAGATTAGACGTGGGATTTCCAACACGAACACCATCTGTTTATTTGAAGCATTAAAAACTGTAATAATCAACAATTTCAGTTTTCCATTGACAATAATGAAGAATTATGAAGGCGATTCATGTAAGGCACTAGGTAACTTCGCGTTGCTTTTAGAAGAGTATTGTCTGAATAGACAACAGTTACCTTGTGATTCTTCACCGAGCTGCATTTTTCAAGTTGAAAAATCGGGTGCTGAAAGTGATGGATCTATAGATTTGTGAGAATTTGCTGCTGCTTCAACTTCTTTTTGTAATAACAATAACAGTCTATATGAAATTTAACAATTCTGTTTCTTCTTTGATTTTGAGTCACCCTGTAAATGTAGCTCTACTAAACTATCGGACCGCATTCATAGCCTACAAGAGAAAAAAATCTTCTATACTGGAAAGGAGGAAAAAAAGAATGTATCAACCTGATACATCTGCCCCTCTTTATAACCCGTGAAATAGCCCTAGTTCTAATTAAATTTCAGTTCAAGCTTCCAAAATGACTTCCAACAATATTAAAGTAGCCACAAAGATCAGACCAATGATCCACCGCGAAGTAGCCGATGGTCTAGAGCGTCTTTGGAACGTAAGAGTAAACTGCATATGGGAAGCCGATGAAAGTAGTCGCCATGGAGAGGTTTATATATTCGACCATGTATTTAATCAGGAATGTACAAATTCAGATGTATATGGATCTGTAGTAAAACCTTTAGTCGATTCCTTCATGGAAGGTTTCAATGCCACAATATTTGCATATGGCCAAACATCTTCTGGCAAAACACACACCATTTTGGGCAATAAAACAGATCCTGGGCTTTTCCAATTAGTATCCAATCAGTTATTCCAGCATGTGGCAGACCAGGTTGATAAGAGGTACTTGATTAGATGCAGTTATATTGAAATCTACAATGAAAAGATCAATGACCTCCTGGATAAGAGCAATCAGGGTTTAACTATGAGAAGATATCAAAGGAAATGTGCTGCTTGATGCAAGGGAAGCTGTCGTAGACAATGTTGATAAAGTTATGGAGAACATGATGCAGGGCAATAAGATCAGACGAGTTGCAGCTACTCGCATGAATGAGAGGTCATCTCGATCACACACGATTTTCCGGATTATTCTGGAGTCGAAAGATGCCAATCAGAAAGATGGACCTGTACATATAAGCTACCTTAACTTAATGGACTTAGCTGGTTCTGAGAGAGTTTCTCTGACGAAAGCTGCTGGTGAGCGTCTTAAAGAGGGGGCTAACATAAACAAATCTTTGTCAGTATTAGGAAATGTGATAAGGCAACTAAGCGAGGGGAAGGAGTTTATCAGTTATCGCGATTCGAAATTGACTAGACTGCTCTCACAGGCTCTTGGCGGTAATGCCAAATCATTGATTATCGGGAATGTTACTTTAGCTGCAGAGGAGGAGACTAGATCTACACCAGAATTCGCCCAAAGCACTAAAACTGTCAAAAATAAAACGAAAGTAAACATCTTGTCAGCTACAGAAGAGACACTTCAAGGATATCAGAACTTGACTCGCGATCTCGAAACTCGGCTCAAAAAGCAGGCAATTAAGCTAAAAGAGATGGATAAAAGCAAACAAGAGTATCTGCTCGAGATAGAAAGACTAAAAACGGAAGTATCTATTGTCGGGCGCTTTCAAATGGGAGCCTCGGCATCAACACCGAAAAAAACATTAAGACGTCATACTTTTGGACACTATGGCAACGTATCACCTAAAAAAGCATCCCTAGGGTATATGCCATTGAAAAATTATCCACCCAAAGAAGAATCATCCGGACGTGAAATGAGGCCTATTCAAGAAGAGACATATGAGGAGGCACTAGCCGAAGCAGAATCTGTGATAGCTGAAGACGTGCAAGTGTACTTAAAAGACAACGCAAAGAACTGGAAGAATCTTTCAATGAGCTTAGAGAATTCACTAAACTAGATAATCAGCTGGAGATTTTGGACCTGAAGAAACAGCTCACAGAAGCCAATTCTAAAATCGATCGTTACAGTCAGGAACTCCGCCAAGTAACGGATGCGTACAACGAAGAAATAGAAAGAGTTCAAAAAAATTCTCAAAAAGCGCAAGAATTTCATCGACTTGCAATACAGACTCGATTTTCTGGAAAAAAATAATAAAAAGACTAAAAACATACGAGTCAGAAATAGAGATGCTGCGTACTCAACTGAAGAACCTAGGAAGATCAGAGAGCCCTAAACCATCTCTTGAAGCTCAAAATATTGAGTCAAAAAAGAAGGTTGCAGACTTAGAAGCTATGCTTGACGCTGAGTACGAAGATATGCAAGATTCTTTAAGTGCTGCTACACAAACTGATGTAACGATGTCACACATTGCTGAACTGCAAGATGAAATTGGCTTCCTAAAAGAACTTGAATCTAAACTGAGAAATGACGTAAAGAGTCTGATGGACGAGAGTAACCAACGTGAGGTCACCACTCATTTAAAATCTCAGATATACGATGCCATAATGATTCTACTATAAAAGAGCTTCAGGATCAAATGGCTGAACTGGAATGCCAAAACGAAATCTGGATTATGAAAAGTGCCCCTCTTTATAACCCGTGAAATAGCCCTAGTTCTAATTAAATTTCAGTTCAAGCTTCCAAAATGACTTCCGACAATATTAAAGTAGCCACAAAGATCAGACCAATGATCCACCGCGAAGTAGCCGATGGTCTAGAGCGTCTTTGGAACGTAAGAGTAAACTGCATATGGGAAGCCGATGAAAGTAGTCGCCATGGAGAGGTTTATATATTCGACCATGTATTTAAGCAGGAATGTACAAATTCAGATGTATATGGATCTGTAGTAAAACCTTTAGTCGATTCCTTCATGGAAGGTTTCAATGCCACAATATTTGCATATGGCCAAACATCTTCTGGCAAAACACACACCATTTTGGGCAATAAAACAGATCCTGGGCTTTTCCAATTAGTATCCAATCAGTTATTCCAGCATGTGGCAGACCAGGTTGATAAGAGGTACTTGATTAGATGCAGTTATATTGAAATCTACAATGAAAAGATCAATGACCTCCTGGATAAGAGCAATCAGGGTTTAACTATAAGAGAAGATATCAAAGGAAATGTGCTGCTTGATGCAAGGGAAGCTGTCGTAGACAATGTTGATAAAGTTATGGAGAACATGATGCAGGGCAATAAGATCAGACGAGTTGCAGCTACTCGCATGAATGAGAGGTCATCTCGATCACACACGATTTTCCGGATTATTCTGGAGTCGAAAGATGCCAATCAGAAAGATGGACCTGTACATATAAGCTACCTTAACTTAATGGACTTAGCTGGTTCTGAGAGAGTTTCTCTGACGAAAGCTGCTGGTGAGCGTCTTAAAGAGGGGGCTAACATAAACAAATCTTTGTCAGTATTAGGAAATGTGATAAGGCAACTAAGCGAGGGAAGGAGTTTATCAGTTATCGCGATTCGAAATTGACTAGACTGCTCTCACAGGCTCTTGGCGGTAATGCCAAATCATTGATTATCGGGAATGTTACTTTAGCTGCAGAGGAGGAGACTAGATCTACACCAGAATTCGCCCAAAGCACTAAAACTGTCAAAAATAAAACGAAAGTAAACATCTTGTCAGCTACAGAAGAGACACTTCAAGGATATCAGAACTTGACTCGCGATCTCGAAACTCGGCTCAAAAAGCAGGCAATTAAGCTAAAAGAGATGGATAAAAGCAAACAAGAGTATCTGCTCGAGATAGAAAGACTAAAAACGGAAGTATCTATGTCGGGCGCTTTCAAATGGGAGCCTCGGCATCAACACCGAAAAAAACATTAAGACGTCATACTTTTGGACACTATGGCAACGTATCACCTAAAAAAGCATCCCTAGGGTATATGCCATTGAAAAATTATCCACCCAAAGAAGAATCATCCGGACGTGAAATGAGGCCTATTCAAGAAGAGACATATGAGGAGGCACTAGCCGAAGCAGAATCTGTGATAGCTGAAGACGTGCAAGTGTACTTAAAAGACAACTCAAAGAACTGGAAGAATCTTCATGAGCTTAGAGAATTCACTAAACTAGATAATCAGCTGGAGATTTTGGACCTGAAGAAACAGCTCACAGAAGCCAATTCTAAATTCGATCGTTACAGTCAGGAACTCCGCCAAGTAACGGATGCGTACAACGAAGAAATAGAAGAGTTCAAAAAATTCTCAAAAAGCGCAAGAATTTCATCGACTTGCAATACAGACTCGATTTTCTGGAAAAAAATAATAAAAAGACTAAAAACATACGAGTCAGAAATAGAGATGCTGCGTACTCAACTGAAGAACCTAGGAAGATCAGAGAGCCCTAAACCATCTCTTGAAGCTCAAAATATTGAGTCAAAAAAGAAGGTTGCAGACTTAGAAGCTATGCTTGACGCTGAGTACGAAGATATGCAACATTCTTTAAGTGCTGCTGCACAAACTGATGTAACGATGTCACACATTGCTGAACTGCAAGATGAAATTGGCTTCCTAAAAGAACTTGAATCTAAACTGAGAAATGACGTAAAGAGTCTGATGGACGAGAGTAACCAACGTGAGGTCAACCACTCATTTAAAATCTCAGATATACGAATGCCATAATGATTCTACTATAAAAAGAGCTTCAGGATCAAATGGCTGAACTGGAATGCCAAAACGAAATCTGGATTATGAAAAAGGACGACGAAATCAGAAAATGCAACAACTAATTACCAACCCGAAGCAGGCTGGCACTTAACCAGAACCACCTGTGCAGGAAGACGTTGCATTTTATAGGGAGCAAGTTGAGTTCTCCCAGAACATGTACAAAAATGAGATAATAGGTGGAGAGTTACGTATAAACCATAGAGAAATCTTCAGGCAGTTAAACTAGAAATATGTCTACCCTTGTTTAGTGTTTACGATTATTGCAGGGTTTGGACAAAGTTTAGGGCTGATCCCAGTGCTCACAGTGTACAATTTTCAGCTAATAAATCTTGAATTCTGAGGTAACAAAATCAACTAGAACTCTGAAAAAGTGATTTATCAGAAATCATGCCCTTACTTCCATGATAAGAGGGATTCGTAAAATTATAAGCAGGTTGTGGCTTATTATCTAGTAAAAGATACAAGAATCCCAGATCTGAAAACGATTATTGTTCATGTGATCACAAACTAGCAGCGACTTGGTTTGTGCGTTGTTGGCAACTATTTCTAATCAGGGCGCAACGATCAAAAACGCACTTGAGACGATTTGCTCGGAGAATACTCACGGATCAAGTCCATTCCATTTTATAGTCAATGCTCAGAGTATTTCTACAATTTGTGATGAACCACATTTATTCAAAAATGGATGAAATGCTCTTATTGACATTAATATGAAAGTGAAGAAGCTGCACAGATTGAACATGTCTAGAAATCATATAATGTTGATCAGCAAACAAGACCATACAAAGAGCTATGTAAATTGAAACCCAGCCACTTTGATTTTATAGATTCGTTCAAGAATATAGAAATTAATCCTTTAATGATATCGTCGGATGATTCGAGCTTTCTCAGTTATGTGGTGGGGGGTCCCGTGACTTCTCATACGGTATGAGCACGTATACCTCAAACCACAGTTAATTTAAACATCACAATTGTTGGTTTGTTGACTTTGCGGTCAAATTTGATCCGAGGATGTCAGTTGCGTGTACGATTTGAACTTCCTTCACAATGGATTTTTTCGTTGTTGACGGATGAACAATACACTATAGACTACGCCGAGGACGACGCTGCTATCGATCAACCTGAACAACTTCCTATGGGCGACCTCGCTATGCCTATGGAAAAACATGTACAATTGGTCAAAACGAGCGCCTGCAACTGGTCGATTATTACGCATTTACCCTGAACTAAAGTCCGTGGCAACCAATTTGGAAAATAATAACCCTGTGACTCGAGAAATGGCGATAAATTTCTCCAAAATACGTGAAATTTCGAGACACTCATAGAGAACTGTCGAAATTGTTATATTTCGGGTGAGTCCCCTACAAAATACGAGATGCTCGTGGGCCGATGTCCTTCCTGAGCCTACAAGAAAACTAAACCGAATCAGTATGGACTGATGATGCAAAGACTCACCACTACCTGCTAAATGCTTTCGTCTATACGAACAGAAATATCACAGCAGATGACTGGTTCACGTCAGTAGAATTACATGTAGAATGCGCATCAACCAACGACCTATGTCGGCAGGAAGCGTAAAAATAAGTAACAAGTACCCCAACATGTAGTTCCAAATAAGAAGGAAACACAGCCAGGTACTTCTAAGTTTATGTTCACTAGCACTACAGCCTTAGTGTAGTATCTTCCAAACCAAATACACATGTTCTCGTATAGCAATCTATGCAGCATGATAACAAAATAGTAGACTAATCAAAGAAACCTGATAAGATTCTATATTATTTTTATAACACTATGAAGGCGGGGGGTAATGCATTAGATCGGAAGTGTGTGTAAATTACAATACTGGTTAGAGAACGAGAAGATGGCCTTGGTGCTATTTGGTATCCACCAGCTTCTGTAAATCCTTTTTTTTTCAGTCTGGGACTGAAAGTTCCATTAGGCGACGAAATTTTATTGTTCCCCTGAGGGCAAACTCTAATTTAACTTCGTATGAGAGACGTTTATCAGATCCAAGACTTCCTAGGGAGCTTCGTTCAGCCATGCAAAGAATCCTAAATTACCAACGACGAATACAGTAAGCCGTCTACTTCTCAGCCCAGAGTTCTCGATCCTGATGCAGTTGTTAAAGAAAAAAAACGACGTAGGTGTTACATGACAATACACAATGAAAAAAATGTCTACAATCTGTAATAAGTATGTAAAGTCACAGCGCACTTACATTGTTTCGTGAAAAGTGATAAATGTTAATTATTGTATGTTTCCTTATACGAGAAAGTATTTGTTTTTGTTGTAGAATATCAACACCAAATATGTTGTTAAATGGCCCATTTTGTTAGTTTTTTTATGTTCATATTACAGTTCAAGTTTCGAGGATTATATTTATTGCATTACTCATCTTCAATGGGGTATTTTCGTTTTTAGACAATAAACAGTTTTCATGTAAGAGTGTCTTATGCGTACAAACCTGTTGTACACATGGCTAAAAACAGTAATGGCATTTCAGATGTTGATAGTAAGATCCGGTGGATAACCTGTTTTGCGAGATTAGACGTGGGATTTCCAACACGAACACCATCTGTTTATTTGAAGCATTAAAAACTGTAATAATCAACAATTTCAGTTTTCCATTGACAATAATGAAGAATTATGAAGGCGATTCATGTAAGGCACTAGGTAACTTCGCGTTGCTTTTAGAAGAGTATTGTCTGAATAGACAACAGTTACCTTGTGATTCTTCACCGAGCTGCATTTTTCAAGTTGAAAAATCGGGTGCTGAAAGTGATGGATCTATAGATTTGTGAGAATTTGCTGCTGCTTCAACTTCTTTTTGTAATAACAATAACAGTCTATATGAAATTTAACAATTCTGTTTCTTCTTTGATTTTGAGTCACCCTGTAAATGTAGCTCTACTAAACTATCGGACCGCATTCATAGCCTACAAGAGAAAAAAATCTTCTATACTGGAAAGGAGGAAAAAAGAATGTATCAACCTGATACATCTGCCCCTCTTTATAACCCGTGAAATAGCCCTAGTTCTAATTAAATTTCAGTTCAAGCTTCCAAAATGACTTCCAACAATATTAAAGTAGCCACAAAGATCAGACCAATGATCCACCGCGAAGTAGCCGATGGTCTAGAGCGTCTTTGGAACGTAAGAGTAAACTGCATATGGGAAGCCGATGAAAGTAGTCGCCATGGAGAGGTTTATATATTCGACCATGTATTTAATCAGGAATGTACAAATTCAGATGTATATGGATCTGTAGTAAAACCTTTAGTCGATTCCTTCATGGAAGGTTTCAATGCCACAATATTTGCATATGGCCAAACATCTTCTGGCAAAACACACACCATTTTGGCAATAAACAGATCCTGGGCTTTCCAATTAGTATCCAATCAGTTATTCCAGCATGTGGCAGACCAGGTTGATTAAGAGGTACTTGATTAGATGCAGTTATATGAAATCTCAATGAAAAGATCAATGACCTCCTGGATAAGAGCAATCAGGGTTTAACTATGAGAAGATATCAAAGGAAATGTGCTGCTTGATGCAAGGGAAGCTGTCGTAGACAATGTTGATAAAGTTATGGAGAACATGATGCAGGGCAATAAGATCAGACGAGTTGCAGCTACTCGCATGAATGAGAGGTCATCTCGATCACACACGATTTTTCGGATATTCTGGAGTCGAAAGATGCCAATCAGAAAGATGGACCGGTACATATAAGCTACCTTAACTTAATGGACTTAGCTGGTTCTGAGAGAGTTCTCTGACGAAAGCTGCTGGTGAGCGTCTTAAAGAGGGGGCTAACATAAACAAATCTTTGTCAGTATTAGGAAATTTGATAAGGCAACTAAGCGAGGGGAAGGAGTTTATCAGTTATCGCGATTCGAAATTGACTAGACTGCTCTCACAGGCTCTTGGCGGGTAATGCCAATCATTGATATCGGGAATGTTACTTTAGCTGCAGAGGAGGAGACTAGATCTACACCAGAATTCGCCCAAAGCACTAAAACTGTCAAAAATAAACGAAAGTAAACATCTTGTCAGCTACAGAAGAGACACTTCAAGGATATCAGAACTTGACTCGCGATCTCGAAACTCGGCTCAAAAAGCAGGGCAATTAAGCTAAAAAGAGATGGATAAAAGCAAACAGAGTATCTGCTCGAGATAGAAAGGACTAAAAAACGGAAGTATCTATTGTCGGGCGCTTTCAAATGGGAGCCTCGCATCAACACCGAAAAAAACATTAAGACGTCATACTTTTGGACACTATGGCAACGTATCACCTAAAAAGCATCCCTAGGGTATATGCCATTGAAAATTATCCACCCAAAAGAAGAATCATCCGGACGTGAAATGAGGCCTATTCAAGAAGAGACATATGAGGAGGCACTAGCCGAAGCAGAATCTGTGATAGCTGAAGACGTGCAAGTGTACTTAAAAGACAACTCAAAGAACTGGAAGAATCTTTCAATGAGCTTAGAGAATTCCACTAAACTAGATAATCAGCTGGAGATTTTGGACCTGAAGAAACAGCTCACAGAAGCCAATTCTAAATTCGATCGTTACAGTCAGGAACTCCGCCAAGTAACGGATGCGTACAACGAAGAAATAGAAGAGTCAAAAAAATTCTCAAAAAGCGCAAGAATTTCATCGACTTGCAATACAGACTCGATTTTCTGGAAAAAAATAATAAAAAGACTAAAAACATACGAGTCAGAAATAGAGATGCTGCGTACTCAACTGAAGAACCTAGGAAGATCAGAGAGCCCTAAACCATCTCTTGAAGCTCAAAATATTGAGTCAAAAAAGAAGGTTGCAGACTTAGAAGCTATGCTTGACGCTGAGTACGAAGATATGCAAGATTCTTTAAGTGCTGCTACAACAATGATGTAACGATGTCACACATTGCTGAACTGCAAGATGAAATTGGCTTCCTAAAAGAACTTGAATCTAAACTGAGAAATGACGTAAAGAGTCTGATGGACGAGAGTAACCAACGTGAGGTCAACCACTCATTTAAAATCTCAGATATACGATGCCATAATGATTCTACTATAAAAGAGCTTCAGGATCAAATGGCTGAACTGGAATGCCAAAACGAAATCTGGATTATGAAAAAGGACGACGAAATCAGAAAATTGCAACAACTAATTACAAACCCGAAGCAGGCTGGCACTTAACCAGAACCACCTGTGCAGGAAGACGTTGCATTTTATAGGGAGCAAGTTGAGTTCTCCCAGAACATGTACAAAAATGAGATAATAGGTGGAGAGTTACGTATAAACCATAGAGAAAATCTTCAGGCAGTTAAACTAGAAATATGTCTACCCTTGTTTAGTGTTTACGATTATTGCAGGGTTTGGACAAAGTTTAGGGCTGATCCCAGTGCTCACAGTGTGACAACTCACATGTACAATTTTCAGCTAATAATCTTGAATTCTGAGGTAACAAAATCAACTAGAACTCTGAAAAAGTGATTTATCAGAAATCATGCCCTTACTTCCATGATAAGAGGGATTCGTAAAAATTATAAGCAGGTTGTGGCTTATTATCTAGTAAAAGATACAAGAATCCCAGATCTGAAAACGATTATTGTTCATGTGATCACAAACTAGCAGCGACTTGGTTTGTGCGTTGTTGGCACTATTTCTAATCAGGGCGCAACGATCAAAAACGCACTTGAGACGATTTGCTCGGAGAATACTCACGGATCAAGTCCATTCCATTTTATAGTCAATGCTCAGAGTATTTCTACAATTTGTGATGAACCACATTTATTCAAAAATGGATGAAATGCTCTTATGACATTAATATGAAAGTGAAGAAGCTGCACAGATTGAACATGTCTAGAAATCATATAATGTTGATCAGCAAACAAGACCATACAAAGAGCTATTCCCAGTTTGAAGATAATAGAAATTAATCCTTTAATGATATCGTCGGATGATTCGAGCTTTCTCAGTTATGTGGTGGGGGTCCCGTGACTTCTCATACGGTATGAGCACGTATACCTCAAACCACAGTTTAATTTAAACATCACAAGTTGGTTTGTTGACTTTGCGGTCAAATTTGATCCGAGGATGTCAGTTGCGTGTACGATTTGAACTTCCTTCACAATGGATTTTTTCGTTGTTGACGGATGAACAATACACCATAGACTACGCCGAGGACGACGCTGCTATCGATCAACCTGAACAACTTCCTATGGGCGACCTCGCTATGCCTATGGAAAAAACATGTACAATTGGTCAAAACGAGCGCCTGCAACTGGTCGATTATTATACGCATTTACCTGAACTAAAGTCCGTGGCAACCAATTTGGAAAATAATAACCCTGTGACTCGAGAAATGCAGATAAATTAACACTCATAGAGAACTGTCGAAATTGTTATATTTCGGGTGAGTCCCCTACAAAATACGAGATGCTCGTGGGCCGATGTCCTTCCTGTGCCTACAAGAAAACTAAACCGAATAAGTATGGACTGATGATGCAAAGACTCACCACTACCTGCTCAATGCTTTCGTCTATACGAACAGAAATATCACAGCAGATGACTGGTTCACGTCAGTAGAATTACATGTAGAATTGCGCATCAACCAACTGACCTATGTCGGCAGGAAGCGTAAAAATAAGTAACAAGTACCCCAACATGTAGTTCCAAATAAGAAGGAAACACAGCCAGGTACTTCTAAGTTTATGTTTAGCACTACAGCCTTAGTAGTATCTTCCAAAACCAAATACACATGTTCTCGTATAGCAATCTATGCAGCATGATAACAAAATAGTAGAGGAATCAAAGAAACCTGATAAGATCCTATATTATTTTTAACACTATGAAGGCGGGGGGTAATGCATTAGATCGGAAGTGTGTAAATTACAATACTGGTTAGAGAACGAGAAGATGGCCTTGTGCTATTTGGTATCCAACCAGCTTCTGTAAATTCCTTTTTTTTTCAGTCTGGGACTGAAAGTTCCATTAGGCGACGAAATTTTATTGTTCCCCTGAGGCAAACTCTAATTTAACTTCGTATGAGAGGACGTTTATCAGATCCAAGACTTCCTAGGGAGCTTCGTTCAGCCATGCAAAGAATCCTAAATTACCAACGACGAATAAAGTAAGCCGTCTACTTCTCAGCCCAGAGTTCTCGATCCTGATGCAGTTGTTAAAGAAAAAAACGACGTAGGTGTTACATGACAATACACAATGAAAAAAATGTTCTACAATCTGTAATAAGTATGTAAAGTCACAGCGCACTTACATTGTTTCGTGAAAAGTGATAAATGTTAATTATTGTATGTTTCCTTATACGAGAAAGTATTTGTTTTTGTTGTAGAATATCAACACCAAATATGTTGTTAATGGCCCATTTTGTTAGTTTTTTTATGTTCATATTACAGTTCAAGTTTCGAGGATTATATTATTATTGCATTACTCATCTTCAATGGGGTATTTTCGTTTTTAGACAATAAACAGTTTTCATGTAAGAGTGTCTTATGCGTACAAACCTGTTGTACACATGGCTAAAAACAGTAATGGCATTTCAGATGTTGATAGTAAGATCCGGTGGATAACCTGTTTTGCGAGATTAGACGTGGGATTTCCAACACGAACACCATCTGTTATTTGAAGCATTAAAAACTGTAATAATCAACAATTTCAGTTTTCCATTGACAATAATGAAGAATTATGAAGGCGATTCATGTAAGGCACTAGGTAACTTCGCGTTGCTTTTAGAAGAGTATTGTCTGAATAGACAACAGTTACCTTGTGATTCTTCACCGAGCTGCATTTTTCAAGTTGAAAAATCGGGTGCTGAAAGTGATGGATCTATAGATTTGTGAGAATTTGCTGCTGCTTCAACTTCTTTTTGTAATAACAATAACAGTCTATATGAAATTTAACAATTCTGTTTTCTTCTTTGATTTTGAGTCACCCTGTAAATGTAGCTCTACTAAACTATCGGACCGCATTCATAGCCTACAAGAGAAAAAAATCTTCTATACTGGAAAGGAGGAAAAAAAGAATGTATCAACCTGATACATCTGCCCCTCTTTATAACCCGTGAAATAGCCCTAGTTCTAATTAAATTTCAGTTCAAGCTTCCAAAATGACTTCCAAATATTAAAGTAGCCACAAAGATCAGACCAATGATCCACCGCGAAGTAGCCGATGGTCTAGAGCGTCTTTGGAACGTAAGAGTAAACTGCATATGGGAAGCCGATGAAAGTAGTCGCCATGGAGAGGTTTATATATTCGACCATGTATTTAATCAGGAATGTACAAATTCGATTCTTCATGGAAGGTTTCAATGCAACAATATTTGCATATGGCCAAACATCTTCTGGCAAAAAACACACACACCATTTTGGGCAATAAAACAGATCCTGGGCTTTTCCAATTAGTATCCAATCAGTTATTCCAGCATGTGGCAGACCAGGTTGATAAGAGGTACTTGATTAGATGCAGTTATATTGAAATCTACAATGAAAAGATCAATGACCTCCTGGATAAGAGCATCAGGTTTAACTATAAGAGAAGATATCAAAGGAATGTGCTGCTTGATGCAAGGGAAGCTGTCGTAGACAATGTTGATAAAGTTATGGATAACATGATGCAGGGCAATAAGATCAGACGAGTTGCAGCTACTCGCATGAATGAGAGGTCATCTCGATCACACACGATTTTCCGGATTATTCTGGAGTCGAAAGATGCCAATCAGAAAGATGGACCTGTACATATAAGCTACCTTAACTAATGGACTTAGCTGGTTCTGAGAGAGTTTCTCTGACGAAAGCTGCTGGTGAGCGTCTTAAAGAGGGGCTAACATAACAAATCTTTGTCAGTATTAGGAAATGTGATAAGGCAACTAAGCAGGGGAAGGAGTTTATCAGTTATCGCGATTCGAAATTGACTAGACTGCTCTCACAGGCTCTTGGCGGTAATGCCAAATCATTGATTTCGGGAATGTTACTTTAGCTGCAGAGGAGGAGACTAGATCTACACCAGAATTCGCCCAAAGCACTAAAACTGTCAAAATAAAACGAAAGTAAACATCTTGTCAGCTACAGAAGAGACACTTCAAGGATATCAGAACTTGACTCGCGATCTCGAAACTCGGCTCAAAAAAGCAGGCAATTAAGCTAAAAGAGATGGATAAAAGCAAACAGAGTATCTGCTCGAGATAGAAAGACTAAAAACGGAAGTATCTATTGTCGGGCGCTTCAAATGGAGCCTCGGCATCAACACCGAAAAAAACATTAAGACGTCATACTTTTGGACACTATGGCAATATCACCTAAAAAAAGCATCCTAGGTATAATGCCATTGAAAAATTATTCCACCCAAAGAAGAATCATCCGGACGTGAAATGAGGCCTATCAAGAAGAACATATGAGGAGGCACTCTAGCCGAAAGCAGAATCTGTGATAGCGGAGACGTGCAAGTGTACTTAAAAGACACTCAAAGACTGGAAGAATCTTTCAATGAGCTTAGAGAATTCACTAAACTAGATAATCAGCTGGAGATTTTGGACCTGAAGAAACAGCTCACAAAGCCAATTCTAAAATTCGAATCGTTTACAGCAGGAACTCCGCCAAGGACGGATGCGTACAACGAAGAAATAGAAAGAGTTCAAAAAAATTCTCAAAAAGCGCAAAGAATTTCAGCGACTTGCAATACAGACTCGATTTTCTGAAAAAAAATAATAAAAAGACTAAAAACAATACGAGTCAGAAATAGAATGCTGCGTACTCAACTGAAGAACCTAGGAAGATCAGAGAGCCCTAAACTATCTCTTGAAGCTCAAAATATTGAGTCAAAAAAGAAGGTTGCAGACTTAGAAGCTATGCTTGACGCTGAGTACGAAGATATGCAAGTTTCTTTAAGTGCTGCTACACAAACTGATGTAACGATGTCACACATTGCTGAACTGCAAGATGAAATTGGCTTCCTAAAAGAACTTGAATCTAAACTGAGAAATGACGTAAAGAGTCTGATGGACGAGAGTAACCAACGTGAGGTCAACCACTCATTTAAAATCTCAGATATACGATGCCATAATGATTCTACTATAAAAGAGCTTCAGGATCAAATGGCTGAACTGGAATGCCAAAACGAAATCTGGATTATGAAAAATGACGACGAAATCGGTAAATTGCAACAACTAATTACAAACCCGAAGCAGGCTGGCACTTAACCAGAACCAGCTGTGCAGGAAGACGTTGCATTTTATAGGGAGCAAGTTGAGTTCTCCCAGAACATGTACAAAAATGAGATAATAGATGGAGGGTTACGTATAAACCATAGAGAAAATCTTCAGGCAGTTAAACTAGAAATATGTCTACCCTTGTTTAGTGTTTACGATTATTGCAGGGTTTGGACAAAGTTTAGGGCTGATCCCACGCACCACGATAGCACCTAGGACTTAAGATTGTGAATCTAGTCTTGGTAACCGCTCACAGTGTACAATTTTCAGCTAATAAATCTTGAATTCTGAGGTAACAAAATCAACTAGAACTCTGTAAAAGTGATTTATCAGAAATCATGCCCTTACTTCCATGATAAGAGGGATTCGTAAAAATTATAAGCAGGTTGTGGCTTATTATCTAGTAAAAGATAAAATCCCAGATCTGAAAACGATTATTTTCATGTGATCACAAACTTGCAGCGACTTGGTTTGTGCGTCGTTGGCACTATTTGTAATCGGGGCGCAACGATCAAAAACGCACTTGAGACGATTTGCTCGGAGAATACTCACGGATCAAGTCCATTCCATTTTATAGTCAATGCTCAGAGTATTTCTACAATTTGTGATGAACCACATTTATTCAAAAATGGATGAAATGCTCTTATTGACATTAATATGAAAGTGAAGAAGCTGCACAGCTTGAACATGTCTAGAAAGCATATAATGTTGATCAACAAACAAGACCATACAAAGAGCTATGTAAATTGAAACCCAGCCACTTTGATTTTATAGATTCGTTTAAGAATATAGAAATTAATCCTTTAATGGTATCGTCGTGATGATTCGAGCTTTCTCAGTTATGTGGTGGGGCTCCCGTGACTTCTCATACGGTATAAGCACGTATACCTCAAACCACAGTTTAATTTAAACATCACAAGTGTTGGTTTGTTGACTTTGCGGTCAAATTTGATCCGAGGATGTCAGCTGCGTGTACGATTTGAACTTCCTTCACAATGGATTTTTTCGTTGTTGACGGATGAACAATACACCATAGACTACGCCGAGGACGACGCTGTTAGCGATCAACCTGAACAACTTCCTATGGACGACCTCGCTATGCTTATGGAAAAAACATGTACAATTGGTCAAAACGAGCGCCTGCAACTGGTCGATCCAGACGACAATATTATTACGCATTTACCTGAACTAAAGTCCGTGGCAACCAATTTGGAAAATAATAACCCTGTGACTCGAGAAATGCAGATAAATTTCTCCAAATACGTGAAATTTTCGAGACACTCATAGAGAACTGTCGAAATTTTTATTTTTCGGGTGAGTCCCCTACAAAATACGAGATGCTCGTGGGCCGATGTCCTTCCTGTGCCTACAAGAAAACTAAACCGAATAAGTATGGACTGATGATGCAAAGACTCACCACTACCTGCTCAATGCTTTCGTCTATACGAACAGAAATATCACACCAGTAGAATTACATGTAGAATTGCGCATCAACCAACTGACCAACGTCGGCAGGAAGCGTAAAAATAAGTAACAAGTACCCCAACATGTAGTTCCAAATAAGAAGGAAACACAGCCAGGTACTTCTAAGTTTACGTTCACTAGCACTACAGCCTTAGTGTAGTATCTTCCAAAACCAAATACACATGTTCTCGTATAGCAATCTATGCAGCATGATAACAAAATAGTAGAGGAATCAAAGAAACCTGATAAGATTCTATATTATTTTTATAACACTATGAAGGCGGGGGGTAATGCATTAGATCGGAAGTGTGTAAATTACAATACTGGTTAGAGCACGAGAAGATTGCCTTGTGCTATTTGGTATCCAACCAGCTTCTGTAAATTCCTTTTTTTTCAGTCTGGGACTGAAAGTTCTATTAGGCGACGAAATTTTATTGTTCTCCTGAGGCAAACTCTAATTTAACTTCGTATGAGAGGACGTTTATCAGATCCAAGACTTCCTAGGGAGCTTCGTTCAGCCATGCAAAGAATCCAAAATTACCAACGACGAATAAAGTAAGCCGTCTACTTCTCAGCCCAGAGTTCTCGATCCTGATGCAGTTGATAAAGGGAAAAAACGACGTAGGTGTTACATGACAATACACAATGAAAAAAATGTTCTACAATCTGTAATAAGTATGCAAAGTCACAGAGCAGCTACATTGTTTCGTGAAAAGTGATAAATGTGAATTATTGTACGTTTCCTTATACGAGAAAGTATTTGTTTTTGTTGAATATCAACACCAAATATGTTGTTAAATGGCCCATTTTGTTAGTTTTTTTATGTTCATATTACAGTTCAAGTTTCGTAAATTATATTTGTTGCATTACTCATCTTCAAATGGGGTATTTTCGTTTTTAGACAATAAACAGTTTTCATGTAAGAGTGTTTTATGCGTACAAACCTGTTGTACACATGGCTAAAAACAGTAATGGCATTTCAGAAGTTGATAGTAAGATCCGGTGGATAACCTGTTTTGCGAGATTAGACGTGGGATTTCCAACACGAACCCCATCTGCTTATTTGCAGCATTAAAAACTGTAATAATCAACAATTTCAGTTTTCCATTGACAATAATGAAGAATTATGAAGGCGATTCATGTAAGGCACTAGGTAACTTCGCGTTGCTTTTAGAAGAGTATTGTCTGAATAGACAACAGTTACCTTGTGATTCTTCACCGAGCTGCATTTTTCAAGTTGAAAAATCGGGTGCTGAAAGTGATGGATCTATAGATTTGTGAGAATTTGCTGCTGCTTCAACTTCTTTTTGTAATAACAATAACAGTCTATATAAAATTTAACAATTCTGTTTCTTCTTTGATTTTGAGTCACCCTGTAAATGTAGCTCTACTAAATATCGGACCGCATTCATAGCCTACAAGAGAAAAAAATCTTCTATACTGGAAAGGAGGAAAAAAAGAATGTATCAACCTGATACATCTGCCCCTCTTTATAACCCGTGAAATAGCCCTAGTTCTAATTAAATTTCAGTTCAAGCTTCCAAAATGACTTCCGACAATATTAAAGTAGCCATAAAGATCAGA